GATACTTGCCCAAGTTTTGCCCGGACGCCCTATGCCCCTCGGGCCGCAGCTGACAAAAAGTGCGCAAACTCCATTGCTGAAAACTGCATATCTGAACGGCCCTGTGATAGAAAATTGGCTGCGGCCACCAAAGCTTGATATTTCTTGACTTGGTGGCTTAGAAGCGGCCCCCCATTTTCCTCCCCGCGCGTCTGCTTTTCCCCTGGCATCTCACATCTCACTGTGCAATGGTCCGGTCCAATTCTTTTACGAATATCTCTGCGCGTCTCTGATCTACCCCATACCATAATCGCCCCAGCGCCTCTCCAATTCGGCTGAGGGTCCTGATTGACATCAGATATCTGGGCCTTCATCCGAGTCTGCCCCACCCTTAAACTTCGAATGTCCGATCGATTCCTCCATCGAACCAATCAGATTATGGATATTGAAAGAACCGCTGCCGGCGTCCTCTGGTCCTTCGGTCCTTCGGTCCTCTGGTCCTCCGGTCCTTCGGTCCTTCGGTCCTCTGGTCCTCTGCCGTTTCTGCCGTTTCTCGCTCAGCCAGCGTCTTCCTCTGGTCCTCTGGTCCTTGGTCCGCCGGTCCTCTGGTCCTCCGGTCCTCTGGTCCTCCGGTCTTCTGGTCCTCTGGCCCGCCTGTCCGCTGGTCCGCCGGTCCGCCGGCCCTCCTGTCCTCGGGTCCTCCGGTCCTCCGGTCCTCTGGTCCTCTGGTCCTCTGGTCCTCCCGTCCTTCGGCCCACTGGTCCCCTGGGCCTCTGGTCCTCAGACAACGGAGACAGACGGAGAGCGACGAAGACCATATTTCTCAACGCACCGCACGTTGCAAGTCTTGCTGGTCAAAGAAGCCCTCGCATCGCAAAGGGCCCCAAGACGGGTCAGGAAAACCCCAAGAGACACCCCACGACGGGCCAGGAGCGCTCCGAGACAGCCCAAGAGCGCTTCAAGAAGCCAAATGCGGCCTTCAGACAGCGCAAGAGGCACCCAAAAAGCCCCCTACGAGACCAAAATCGATGATTTCACACTGTTTGGGCTGTCCCGCCTTTTCGGGCTTCAACGCTCCAAGACGGCCCAAGAGGCCACCAAGATCGCTCCGCGGCGCCCAAGAGGCCCCCGAGAGAGCCCCCAGACGGACCAAAAAGTGCCCCAAAACGGCCCACGAGGCCCCAAAGACGGCCAAAGACTGCCCCACGAAGGCCCCGAGGCCTCCCAAGAGGGCCCCTGGAGGCAAAGTTCATTGATTTCCCATTGGTTTCGAAAGATTTTGGCGTTCTCGCCTTCTCGGCTTCCCGACGCTCCAGGACGGTCCAAAAGATGTTCAAGACCGCCCCAAAACGGCCCACGAGGCTTCCAAGACGGCCTCATAACGGCTCAAGAGGACTTCAAGACGGCCCAAGCGGTCTCCAAGACGGCCCAAGCGCCCCCAAGACAGCTCCAAGAGGGGGGCCTAGACGGGGGACCGGAACGCAGGAGGCCCCAAGAGGCCCCCAGGAGGCCCTCAAGAGGCCCCAGGACGCCCCCAAGAGGACCCCAGGAAGCCCTGGGAAGCCCCCACGAGGCTCCCCAGAGGCCCCCAAGAGGCCCCGCGAGCGCTCCAGAGAGTTTCCAACTGGAAAAAATAATATCAAATCCTAAGGGCGTAGCACATTCGTTTTTTCGGTCGCCACAGTGTCCACGACGACCCGAGTGCCCCCTTAGATTGCCTCAAGACGGCCGAAGGAACCCCCAAGCGATGCGGACGACCGCCCCAGAGGGCTCCAAGACAGCCCAGGAGGCCCCCAAGACATCTCAAGAGATCCCCAAGAGCAACTCAAGAGGGAAACACGAACTGAAATGTTCCAGCCTTCCGCTCCAAGAGCGCCCGCGACACTGCCAACAACCGCCCTACAAGCCCCGAAGAAGCCCCAAGAGACGTCCCAAACCCTATAAGAAACGCCTCAGAGGCTTGGCGGAGGCCTCCCACCTGCCTCCGCAAAGTTCCCGAGAGGCTCTCTAGAGGGCCTCACGACAGTCCAGGAGGCCCGCAAGGCATCCTCAGAGGGTTCCAAGATAATCACGTGCACCACCCAACGACCCCCAGTCGCGACGTCCAACGAGCACACAGCAACGATATACTTCATGGGCCAGGGGCGCAAGTTCGTGGCATACTGAGGACGATGGCAGAGCCGCTTCACAACAGGAGGAAATCACAAAGCCCCTATGGGGATGTCAGAGATACCTGTCTGACGCCCCGAAAACACCCACAAGGCCCCCACGACGCCCCACAAAACACAAGGAAATGTCTGAAAGGCATGTCGCCCACGACCCAGGCACGGTGGCGGAATGGGCCGCAGGCCGCTAGATCCGCCGCCCCCTGCTTGCAGGGGTGCACGGCGTGCTGGACGTTTCAGGTTTTGGTTTTGGTTCTTTTTCTAAAAGAACTCCCCAGTGGGCTTCGGCCCGTCCCGCCCGCCACCCGTAATTTTCCCAAAATCCGTCTGTCAATGCCTTTGTTGCCCCAACTTGGCCCAAGATGGCCTCCAAGACGGCCAAGATGGCCCAAGATGGCCTCCAAGATGCCTCCCAGACGGCCAAGATGGCCTCCAAGACGGGTAAGATGGCTCCAAGATGCCTCCAAGACGGCCCAAGATGCCCTCCAAGACGGCCAAGATGGCCCCAAGATGCCTCCAAGATGGCCCAAGAGGCCTCCAAGACGTTCTCCAGGAGAGCCCGAAGAGGCCAAAATCATTGGTTTTCCTTAGGTTTTTGAAGGTTTTTTGCGTTTTCTTCTTTTCGGCCTTCCGACGGCCCAAGAGGCCCCCAAGATCGCCCAAGAGGCCTCCAAGAAGGCCCTATGACGGCCCAAGGGCCCCCCAAGACGGCCCCAAGAGCGCCCCAAGACGGCCCAAGAGGCCTCCAAGACGCCCAACATGGCCTCCAAGACGGCCCTGAAGCGCCCCAAGAGGGCCCCAAGACGGCCCAGAGAGGCCCCCAAGACGGCTCCAGACGGCGTCAGACGGACCAGGAACGCCCTAAGACGGCCAAAGAGACCCCCAGGAAGCCCCCAAAGGCCCCCAAGAGGCCCAAGGAGGCCCCCAAGATGCCTCCAAGAGGCCTCGAAGAGGCCCCCAAGAAGCCCCCAACAGACCCCAAGGGTGCCCCAAGAGACTCCTAACAACCCTCATCCTCCTACTCTATTTCTTCCTCTTCCTCTTCCTGTTCATAATCATTCTCTCCCATGTGTTCCCCGAAAGCTTTCCAAACCGACTCGGGGAACTCATGGTCCGATAGCTTGGCCAAGCTCTAGTCCAACTTTCGGCCACATCGGCGTTTCCAAAAAGGCAGGGGGCGGCGGTGATTCGCCGTAGGCGTCTTCGATATATGTCAGTGTTCCTGTGCGAGCGCACAGCCCCATTAACCTCAACAGCACCATCGTCATGATCATCGCCAGCATCATCAGTGCCATTGTCGTGGTCACCGTCATCTTCATCACTATCACCAACGTCGTCGTCGGAATCAAAAACGTCGTCATCATGATTGTCATCATCGTCATCGCCGTTGCTACCACCCTCGTCATCATCGCAACCACCATCATTCTCATCATCATCATCATCATCATCATCACCATCACCATCAGCATCATCAGCAGTATCAGCATCCTCCTTATCGTCATCATCATCATCATCGTCATCATCAGCATCATCACCATCATCCTCATCACCATCATCATCATCATCATCATCGTCGTCGTCAGCATCATCATCAGCAGCATCAGCATCAGCATCGTCGTCATCAACACCATCTTCATCAGAATCATCCATCTCATCATCAGCAGCATCACCATCTGCATCCTCATCATAATGATCATCATCATCACCATCATCATCAGCGTCATCATCATCATCATCAGCATCAGCATCAGCATCATCATCATCATCAGCAGCAGCATCAGCATCATCATCATCGTCATCGCCGAAGTCGTCGTCACCATTATCACTCGCCCGCCCGAGTCATGGATCTGCATGATACGGGTCCTCGCCTAAGAAGTTGCGAGTGGGTGGGTGAGTCGGATATTTGCTCGACAATTTGAGCTCGCGACTCCAAGTTCTTCAACAATACCTGAACCACAAAGCTTGCACCAAGAAAACTGCGCCCCATAGATCGCATCACTCCTAGCTTGCACCACATCCACTTCAAATCGAGAGTGCGACACCATTGGTTGGGGTCCACCCTAGCCAACATAGGGTATGATAAAAGAACTGTTCGCTGCCCTGGATCTCCCGAAATCTCAGGCTTCCCGGAACTCTGGAAACACAGGGCCCAAGAAAGCTTCGAACACCATAAATAAACTTCAAAACATGCAAAACTGGTGGCTTTCACACTTCGAAGGCTTTTGAAACAGTTGAGACTCCCCGTGGCCTGGAACTGCCCATTTCCGAGCTTCCTCGGAATCTTCAAATAAAGGGCCAATACACAATTGAAACTTGAACTTGTGAAATCTGGTTTGGGGGCTTTGCATGGCCTCTGATGTGTCCACGGAACCCGGACACAAGAAAATTGGAGGAGAGTGGGAGAAAGGAGGTGGATGGGAGGACGAGGAGGAGGGTTAATGATAAAGCAATACGGTACTGCGAAGGAGTACTGGGAGTACTGCCGACGTTACGAATGCCCCTGAGAATGGTGAGAAGACGAAGACAGGACGAAGACGGAAGAGGCGGAGGACAAGGGATCGAAGCGGGGGGAGGCTCGTCCAGCCTTCCCTCCTCACTCCCCCTTCCTCACTCCCCCTTTTGCCCTTATCCCCCATTCCTCATTCCGTATCCTCCTTATCCTCCTCTTCCTCCTCCTCCCTCTTCCTCCTCCACCCTCCATCCTCCATCCTCCATCATCCCCCTCCCCCTCCTCCTCCGTCTCCTCCTCCTCCGCCGCCGCCGCCTCATCCGTCTCCTCGTCCTCCACCCCTCCCTCCCTCCCTCCCTCCCTCCCTCCCTCCGTCTCTCCGTCCTCACTCCCTCGCCCGCCCTCGCCTGAAAGTGTCGCGATCCTCGCACAGGTGGCGGGACTCCGTGAGCGCTGCGAGGCTGACGGCTGGCGCGGGATCTGCGGGCAGCATGCCATGGTGGGGGAGAAGATAGGAGAGGAGTGTGTGAAAGAGTATGTCGACATGCGAAAAATGGAAGAAAAGCTGAGATAGGAGATTGGAACGGGAAACATGAGAGACTCCATCACAACAATAGGAGAGGCGTGACGAGAAGATTCTTTACCATGCCTTGGGCACGTAGCGGGCTGCCCCAAGGCTGGTAGAGTTGTGAGCGGTTGAAGGATCGTAAATTCTTACAAGCCTGGACCCCGATTCGCTAGGATGTGGGGGGCGTGCCTGGGGCGTGTCGCGTTGAGCAAGTGGCACACGTGCCGTGGGTCTTGCACCAAAGGAGGGGCATCCAGCAAGGGGCTCTCCGGCTGCGGTGGAGCGGGGCTGCGGGGCCATGACGTGCCCTGCAACAGTCCAAGGTGTCTGAGCGAGAGGGTGCGCGGGTGCTGGGGAAGATGAGCGGAGCTGGTTACGATGTAGGAAGAGGGCATCGTTGCGGTGGCACGAAGCTACGCCGCCGTGCCGCACCGTGCGACAGGGGGCGGGGTAGAGGGGTCGGGGCAGAGGGGACGCACCACTTCGGCCTGCACGAAGAGCGGGACGGCCTCCGCGCTCGCCCACTGCCCGAAAGTCGCCAGCTGCGCCATCGTGGGAGCCCGCTGGAACCTGAACGCAACGAGAGAACGCGCGACGCCTGGCAGCCGTGGTCGCGTGCCACTGGCGCGGCGGAGTGCCGCCACATCCGCTAGATCCGGCCCCTCGTCACACGCCTCGTGAACGTCGCCATCAGGAGTGCCTATAAGCCACCTGGTCCCTGACGACCCCCCCATGTGGCCGAGAAGCCTCCTCCCGTGCCATGAGGGCGGCGCGCCCTCGGCGTACAGCACGGACGCCCGCGTTTGTGGCGGCCGCACAGTCCATCCAGCGCGCCCAGGCGTAGGCGGAGGAATGTAATTTTCAGCCCGATGGCCAAGCCGTCATGGATACGGAAAAATGGCCACTACCACACATGCTGTCTGAAGAAAGACGAGGAAGGCGAAGAGGGCGAGGACGGCAAGCAGGATGGGGGGAGGAGTAGATGGAGGAGGAAGAGGAGGAAGAGGAGGAATAGGCAGAGGAAGAGGAGGATAATGAAAATGAGGGCGAGGACGAGGACGAGGGTGATAGATCTCCCTAGCAGCGCAGAGACGTCCTCCTCCTCCTCCTCCTCCTCCTCCTCCTCCTCCTCCTCCTCCACAATTACACAAAATGAAAATACTCTCCCACTTCCCCTGATGGCGTCCCGAAGATATCCGACACCCCCCCGCGTATTGTTTTTTACACACAGGATTCCCGGGAAACGGGTTTTCGCTTGTTTTTTTCCAAATGCTGCTCTCGCCGAGGCGCCGGCCTTATCTTCGGGCCCCGCTCGTTCCGAATCGTGCTCCCGCTGCAGCGCTGGCATCATTTCCGTGCTTCCGCTCGTTCCGAATCGTGCTCCCACTGAAGCGCTGGCCTCATTTCCGCGCTTCCGCCCGTGTCGACTCGTGCTCCCGCTGCAGCGCTGGCGTCATTTCCCGTGCCATGCCACAGCACACGCACACACACACGCACACACACACACACACACACACCACCACCACCACCACCACCACCACCACCACCACCACCACCACCACCAGCACCAGCACCAGCACCACCACCACCACCACCACCACCACCACAACCACGCACACACGCACGCACGCACGCACGCGCACCACCACCCACTAGTCCGCGGATAGAGAAAATCAGCGCCATGGTAAGGGATGGGAGGGAGGGGTAGGACGTCAGATATGACGCGCGCGCACCTAGCTTGTCCTCCTCCTCCTCCTCCCTCCTCCTCCTCCTCCTCCTCCTCCTCCTCCTCCTCCTCCTCCTCCTCCTCTCCTCCTCCTCCTCCTCCTCCGTCCTCCGTCCTCGTCCTCGTCCTCCTCCTCCTCCTCCTCCTCCTCCTCCTCCTCCTCCTCCTACCCCTCCTACCCCTCCTCCTTCTCTGCCTCGTCCCCCCCCTACTCCGATACCTACTCCTACTCCTACCCTTACTCCTGCTGTTCCTGCGGCACCTCCTTTTTCCTCATCCTCCTCCTCATCATCATCATCATCATCCTCTCCTTATCCTCCTCCTCCTCCTCCTCCTCCTCATCCTCATCCTCCTCCTCCTCCTCCTCCTCCTCATCCTCACCCTCCTCCTCCTCCTCCTCGTCCTCCTTTTCCTCATCATCATCATCATCATCATCATCATCATCATCATCACCACCACCACCACCACCACCACCATCATCATCATCATCATCATCATCATCATCATCATCATCATCATAATCATCATCATCATCATCATCTTCATAATCAGCAGCAGCAGCATCGGCATCATCGTCATCATCATTAGCATCGTCATCATCGGCACGATCACCATCAGCAGCATCACGTTAACACCGCCATCAGCACCACCATCTTCACCACCACCACAACCACCATCATCAGCAGCAGCATCATCGCCGTCGTCGTCGCCACCATCATCATCAGCATCACCGTCATCATAGTAATCGGAATCAAATTCATCATCAACATCGTCATCAGCATCATTAACATCAGCCGCATCATCATCACCACCAGCATCATATTCGTGATCAGAATAATCATCTTAAACATTATCATTAACACCATCAACATGATCATCCTCAACGTCGTCACTTGCATCATCATCATCATCACCATCATCATCATAACCATGCTCGCTGCTGCTACGCTCCCTGCGCCAGAGCCCCTCTCACTTTGTGCCTTCATCGCTGATGATCGCACCGGCCCTCCGTGATATTGCAGTCGATCGGCGGCCGAGCTCGTCGCACGGGCGTCGGGCGACGAACAGAGTGGCAACGAGGAGGACATGCAAACCATTTCCCAGAAGCGAGGCAGGTACGAGCGCGCAGGAAAAAGGCAGGTGGCGGGGCAGGCAGGATGGACCCAAGAGGAACTACAGATGCACCTGGCGCGCACACTCCGCGCTACAGTATAAAGGTTCAAAAACAGATCATGCTCGCTGCTGCTACGCTCCTTGCGCCAGAGCCCCCCTCATTTTGTGCCTTCAGCGCCGATGATCGCACCGGCTCTCCGCGATGTCGCAGTCGATCGGCGGCCGAGCTCGTCGCACGGGCGTCGGGCGACGAACAGAGAGGCAACGAGGAGTACACGCAAACCATTCCCAATCCATAATTTGTGCTCTGGACCAAAGTTTCGCGACTGTCCACGTCGAAGTTCGGAAACGTTGCAAGCGGCGAATACCTTACAGAGCTCCCCTGGAGAAGGCTCAGGTCGATCAGTCCAGATCCCCGTCGGGGCCTTTGCCTTTTCAGTGCTAACTGCGGCTTGTTGGCACAGGAACAACGATAGGATGACCCGCACACGTTTTCAGCAACTGCTGCACCCCAAGGAGGTTAAAGACCATGAACGCCGGAGGTTTCTTCCAGGGCCTACCATACTGGCAGAAATCGGCACGCACCATCTCGCCTCTGAAACGCATCAGGAGGTCACGGAGCTCCAGAGCCAACCAATCTGCTGGATTTGGATTTGTATGAATAACCACCATGTCTTTCTCCAGTGTCGGAACCATTGAAGCGATAGCGTCGAAGGGGAGAGCGTTACCTAGGACCACCTTCTTCCGATCATGCTCCGAGAGATTGGAATGCCCCACAAGGTCACGCTTGAGACCCCAGCCTTCGCTCTCGAGACCTTCCCGCTGGAGGGCTTGGGGCCGAGGTGACCGGCGCCGCCGAGGAGCTCGATGGCCCTCGAGCGCGCAAGCCCTGGCGCGGGCGCTTCTGGTCTAAAAAGCTGTGGACCTCGTCTTTCAGGTTCTTCAGGGCGAACTGGCACTCCGTCTACCTGGCCAATGCGAGGCGTTGTTCCTCTCGCTGCACCCGCGCACGAGCCTCGAAGCGCCTCGCCATCTTGGACCGCAGAGCCCAGCGGCCTCGGCGCCCGACGCCGAGCGTCGCGCGGCGGTTGCGCAGCCTGTCGCGGCTCGGACCACCGCGGCGCAGTTGGAAATTGCGGAGAAGCGGCCTGCGACCCCCACGTTGACCTGGGCCCCCTCGACGTGGCTGACGACGATGTCGGGCGCCATCTTGCAGCGGGACAGCAGGATCGCCCGACTTCAGCAGCTGCAGCGCGGGCCCCAGCCACATCGCGCCCTCGCTGTCGAGAAAGATGGACTCGCCCGCGAGACCCACCATGGAGGTTTCCTGGCGCTCCTCGGGCGGGCGAAAGTTCAGGGCGTAGAATGCAAGCAGACGACCCTCCCGGCGCCGCCAGGTCGCCCTCGCAGATCCTGCTCGGCTCGCGGGGCCCGAGGCACGCGAAGACCCGCGGGGCCCGGGGCGGAAAGACCCGCGGGGCCGCGTCGACCCGGCTGCTGCGCTTGACGCGCAGGCTGATCGCCGCGACCAGGCCCCTAAAGATGGGCGGCAGCGCGACCCCTGGCTCCAGCTTGGCCCAACCCCTCACGGCTCGAAGGAGGCGTGGGAGCTTGACCTGGCCCCGCGAAAACTTCGCGCTGAAAAACAAGAAGCTGGCAAAAGCTGTTTGCGCCTCGCTGCGGCCCATGCCCTCGTCGTAGCCTGAGGTCACGTAGACCGCTAACAGTGAGTCTGCAAGGTCGACCGCGTCGACACGCATCTTCTTGACCTTTGCAAGATTCACGATGTCCTGGCACATCCGAGCGCAGTCCTTCACCGTCGCCTGGCTCAGCGAGTTCGCCTCGAGGAAACTGGCCCCCCAGTCCAAGGCTCCAGGATTTGCCTTGTAAAGTCGCTCCTCCGAGCTTGACGGCCCCTGACGCGCTGAGCCCCTTGTCTGATCCGAGGCGCTCGACTGCGCGGCCAATAGAGAAGTCACTGCCGCCGCCGGCCTCTTCCC